ACTTTTATAAGTTTGAAACTCGCCCTAACTTACCTACTTGATGGTCTCTGACATTCGTAATCTGCGATTTTCCGGTCACTTTTGAAGTTGAATTTTGCAGATTGCCTCATTCCAAGCATAAAGTGCCTGCCTGCACGTAGGTTAGTAGGTAGTTAAAACCTACTTTGGCAAAATAAATTATCTCTAAATTCAAGTTTACTTTTACATTAGGTACTAATTGTTTGCTGTTGCAGGGAACAAAGAAATAGGTAGAGCGCTATATTTCTTTATCTGGTTATCGCTGCTCCCATTTTTCAAGATTTTCTATTTATTCATGAAATCAAAGGAGCCTTCCAAGTGCCGAGACTGCTAAGTATCTATAGTTCAAGTGCAATTAAAGAACTGTCTACGTTTCCGAAGACGTAGACCCCAATTACCTATGGACACGTCCAGAATGGACGCTCATTTGGCCGAATCTAGGTTACCGCATATACCGCTCGTTACATACGAGTATATTCTGGTCTCAGACAGAGGCTGCACCCTGGCAATACAAAGGGATTAGGCTCAGAAAGCTCGTTGGTATCAGCCAAAAGGCCTCCCCCAAGGCTTTCCACAAAGACCGGTCCTGCGCCGCTCACATCCAGGCACCTCCCGCGACCCTCACCAGATCGTCGGTCCACCTAGTGGGAGGCCTGCCCACGCTACGTCTTCCGGCTCGTGGTCGTCACTCAAGAACTTTCCTGCCCCAGCGGCCATCAGCTCTACGAGCTATGTGCCCCGCCCACTGCCACTTGATTTTAGCGATTCTGCGGGCTATGTCAGTCACTCTGGTTCTCCTACGGATCTCCTCATTTCTGATTCGATCACGCAGGGAAACTCAGAAAGCTCATGGCCATAATATTAATCACATCACATCAAAAAATACATTGACAAAGTTCACTGAATTCCTTCCGCCACTTCTTCTAAGCACCAGCCGATATGTTGTTTCAAAGTAGTCGTAAGGTACGCTATGTTTGAAATGGACTCTGAAAAGGACATACAATACATAGGTACATACCTACTACATAATAAAGAATTTGAATTTTTATAATGGCATTCAACACCAAAATTCCAGTTGGACTTTCCACCAAGAATGTTGGTGATTGGCTTTTGGTGTTTGGAAATTTGGTCATTGTCTTGCTCAATTATGCTGCATTTTTAAACGGACCTGCTCAGCTTTTTTCAGTGTTTTGGTAAATAAGTGGCGTCTGGGACAGATATGACCTCCTCCAGCCCCTCTCGTATATTAATTCTAATCCTACGATACAGCACAGCTACTGTCCCTTTGTGTACTGTGCGCAGGCTGCAGCGTGCAAATTAGCGCTCGCTCCGCTTTGAGCAAGCTTGACCGAGCGTTCCCGGCAAGACGCTCGGGGCTCGGCGTTGCGGTTGCTATCGGACTATTTCTTGAGCTGGAAAATACATTGTGTAAGGGTATCGTATTCGCCAAACGGGGACTCAAATTCGGTTTCAGGTGCCAATTAGACCGTAAACTTGATGATATCGAGATACTCGCAATCGAATGGTTTGAGGAGTTGGCTAATACCTACCTTAAGTTCCTTTGTCTGATAGTTTCTGATATTATTTTCTATCAATTGATGATAATATTAATTTGTCGGATAAGGATGGCCAACAATGCAATTAAGCGCTCTGACTTCCAACTACCTTTTTACTACTATACAATCGTTATACAAACATACTTACGACAAACATCTACAATAAAGAGCATCACGCAGAACCCCTGGAAAAAGTTAACTTAAGAAAGCAAAGATTCAAGTAATCTTTACATTACTTTAAACTAATTAACCCATCTCTTTTCAATCAAAGAAAACGAAAGATATAAATATTTAGCAATCATTAATCTCAATTCAATTGCGTACCTAAACTTTTGCCGAGCCTTAATAACCCAACCCCTACGAAAAATTACCACGCCTATAAATTACGGACTGGAAACTCCCAATTCCAGAGTCAATGCACTTGCCCTTCACATTCCACAAACTAAATCGTGGAGCAACAATAAAAGTGGTGGCCAAAGGAAAAATTGATAGCGAGAGTGAACGAAGTTTTCGCCCGAAAGCGAAAGTCGCCGGCAAAAGTTGCGGCAACCGACTTTGTTTTCGAACTTCGAATTCATTTTGAAAGGGAGTCCCCCGGGCGTAGGGCTGCTAACTTCGAAATCGGTTTTTTCGGCAAATAGACAAAACCTTTGGACAAGTTGGGGTCGGGGTAACGCGAAAACTTATGAATAGGTAACTTAAATTGAGTAATACAATGTAAGGTTGGATTTATCGTAGAAAAATCGTCTCACAATATTATTTGGCCCAAAGAATCGTCAAACACGCTTGATCAGAGGTATTCTAAAAAAAATGTGGTAACTTAAAGCTCTGTTATGATTTAGAACCAAACAAAATCTATCAATCGGATGTGTATTATTTCTTAATCTGTATTATGTAGGTTTAAAGAAACTATAATAACCTATTTCAATCATGAAAATTACTTCAAATTCCCCACTTAGGAGCAGCAACTACGCGCACAAATTCTAGCAATTAATGAAAAAAAGATAGCATAGAATAAAAAATCCAAAAAGAAGATAAACTTAAGTTTTCATCAAAAGTGCAAAAAGCATGGCAAGCAGCCCTACCACCCCCTCCCAGCCCTTTGCACCGGTTATTCCAGCCAAAACAAACGGAAACTTTGCACCTCGTGCTTTGGCTCAGTGTTTATCTGTTGTGATCGAGCTTTAGGCGCTTTTGTTTCAAATAATAACGTTATAACTCCAAACTTTACCTGGGATATCTTGTCCTTTTGGAAATCCGTACATTTAGAAGGCTAAATAAGTTGATGCAAAGCAATAATATAATAGCAACGTAAATACCTATATCTAGTACTCTTATAATAGTACGTAATGTATAATCGACGAACAACTGTAAGCTACATGAGCAAAATGAGCACTCGGCTCATAATTCAATTTTCGCAAAATATGCATTTCGCAAAAGAGGATATTAAAACATATAAAAATACCTACTTAAATTACATATTAACACTCCAAAATTAGTCCTTTGCCAACTGCGTAGCGTAGGCCCAAATCTATCAAAGTCCCATTTAATGCATCATGCTTCATTTAAATTAGTCAGCTGGTTCATTTACAACATTAACTCATCATCAAGTTATGAGTAGGAAAACAGCTGATCTCTAGTCCTTTGTTTCCCGCTAATACTAAGCAGTGCACACTGCCATCTAGTGACGCATACACGAACTCCTGCTGTAAGTTTAGAACGCCGGACTGAAAGCAATGAACCCTATTCACTTTCGCGCAGTTCGTCCAGTCGATCACAGATGGCACTAATGGCATGAAAAGCTGGAAAATTTCTATTGATAACATTTTTCATATCGCGCTAGTACAGTCGCGGAATGAAAAGGTTCGTCACCTTAGTGTCGGTTTTCGCTTGCACTAGGCACAGATTAGAGAGTATGCACTAGGTACTGTAAGAGTCAAACCTGCCAACATAACCGTGCAAGAAACAGTGCTGCTAACATTTAAATAAATATGACGTTTGCTAACGAATAAGGTTTTGCTTGTTTATTTTTCTATCCCATCAGTGCAATGCAATGATGACATTGACCAATTGACAATAGTTTTTTTTTTATTTAAAAGAAATAATAAAGGCAGGTTGAACCAACAAGGTTTTAGTTTATCAATCATAATAATCTTCTTGACAAGATAAACCGTCAAACAGCTTTGATCTGAATAATTTTGAACTTTACTGACGAACAGTTAAAGATTATTTTCTCTAACTCGAGATTATTCTGTAACATAGTTTCAAAAGGTAATATGTGCTCGCGATTCGTTGAAGGAATCAATTTGAAAACTGACGAACCTTTTCATTCCGTGACTGTACATCGTGTATTGCAAAGTACTTCTTAAAATGATTATGATGAAAAACACACCCTACATCACTCCAGTTAAGGTTCATACTTGCTAGAACCCTATCGTGTTTAATTAATGTTGAATCGTATTCAGTTTAATTTAATAATTCCTTTTATCCTCCATTTAAAAAAACGATTTGCTTACTCCTTAGTAAGCAAATGGACCCTTGCCCAGCACGTTTTTTAAACGCGTCGAGGGCGCATTTTTTTCCTACAAACGTTAATAGACGTAGAGTCGTAGACAGACAGTCTGGATCCGACTTTAGTGTGTGTCGCGTCTGCTATCGCATCTGCAGTGCTAAAATGCGCGTCCACTTCGCTTAAGAAACGTAGTGTCCATAGGCCCTAAAGTCTTCCAATTTTCCAGCCGGAGCGTCTGATGTCACCGTACACCGCCATCATCCGCCGCAGCGGCAACCCGTTCGAGCTGGCGCACGTGACGGTGTCGTGGCTGATCGGCGCCGGTTTCGACGCGTACGTGGTCGTCGGCTGCGCCAAGCGGGACATCTGCATGGCTATACGGTACAGGACCATATGCCCGGAGATCCCCGACGAGAGAGAGGTCAGTGATAGAAAGAAAGAAAATGATAATAATACGCACGTGACGGTGTCGTGGCTGATCGGCGCCGGCTATGACGCGTACGTGGTCTTCGGCTGCGCTAAGCGGGACATCTGCATGGCTTTACGGTACAGGACCATATGCCCAGAGATCCCCGACGAGAGAGGTCAGTGATAGAAAGAACGAAAATTATAATAATACGCACGTGACGGTGTCGTGGCTCATCGGCGCCGGCTACGACGCGTACGTGGCCATAGGCTGCGCCAAATGCGAGATACGACGAGAGAGAAGTTAGTGAACTTCATCGTTTGTGACTTACCATAAATCTATTCATGCTGTGGTAGGCCTTTGCTCAGAAGTTGGAGGTTTTATAGCTGAAATGCCGATGATGATGAACCATACTGCAACACTGTGTTATTTCTACATAAAAACGTATAGAAACATAAGTAAACGATGGCGGAAAGCTGCTGCTGGCTGTTTAGAGAACGTGTTTAGAGAACGAAGAGACATTATCGACATTATAAACTTGTTTAAATCAACTGAACCTGATGTGATACCTATTTTTGTTGCTCGTCAGCTCGAAAAGTTACCGCCGATTTTGTTTGACCACCTGGACTGTACGAAACTATTGAAGGACTTGCTTAAAGTACAAAACGAATTGGATTTCATTAAATCTAATTACGTGACACAAGATCAGTTAACTAACTGTAAAGATGAACTGCTCCGAGACATGAAGAACGAGTCGTTATTGCCGATTACTGCACGGAATGTGAATATAAATCGTGGTGCATGGATCTGTGACAGTGGCCCTATGGGTCTTTCGCATCTGGATAATAGTTCATCTCNAACAGTTGAAGAAGCAGTTAGAGTGAGCACCGACGTGCGCACAGTGCACGCGGATGCCAATTTTCATTTGGCCAAGTGGGCCTCGAATCGCTCCGAAGTACTAGAAGTCCATCGGGCGGAAGCTGCCGCCACTCGGGACGTCACACTTGAAGACATCGAAGAGAAGGTCCTGGGCCTCACCTGGAGGCCGACCTGCGACACCTTGGGATTTAATCTGAACTTCGCCCGGGTGCCTGACGTCGACAGCGGGCAAACTCCGACGAAGAGGGAGGCTCTGCGGACAGTGATGTCACTGTTCGACCCGCTGGGCCTCGCCTCCCCCATCACCATCGTAGCGAAACAGCTGCTACAAGAGGCGTGGCGCGTAGGCGTCGATTGGGACGTCCGCCTGCCGCCGCCGCTGTCGACGGGCTGGAGTGAGTGGGTGCGGCAGCTGGCCGCGCTCCGAGACGTCAACCTGCCAAGATGTCACCCTGGCTACAGCCGGGCGACCCGACGNTTCATCCCTAAATAAGTCATTCGACAACAACGGTGGAAATAACTCAGATAATTGCAACGGTTTGCTAGAATACAGAGAAATGGAGGTAATCTGTAAACAACGCGAGTGTGAATCAGCTGAGCTGCGTGAACGATCGCCCGCGCTCGTGAGCGATAAGCGGCCGAGCGGCTCCGACGGCTGCCGAACTACTGATGTGACGTCACCGCGGCCAGGCAGTGAGCGAAAGCGAAAGCGAGTTGAACGCCACAGTGCGGTAACGGTCAGTGAAGCCACAGATGTTACAAACGTAAACAGTTCTGAGAATTGGCAGACGGTGTCTAAGCGTAAAAAGACTAACTACCGTTACCGTGGTACAGCGGGTATATCAAGGGATATGGAGGGCAAGTTCAAAGCAGCCGACATACAAGTTCCCATATTTATTACCAAGATACATAAAGACACTACTGAAAAAGATATACAGGAGTACATATACAGAAAAACGAAAGAAATGATAAATCTGGAAAAAATCTCCTTTAAACAGGATCGAGATCATAGTGCGTACAAGTTTTTTGTATCGGAGCATAAGTTACCGGTGTTCCTAGATAACAAATTGTGGCCGCAGGGTATCCTGTTCAGACGATTCGTGAATTTTAAGCGGAAATATGCGAATGATCGTAACTTTGTTTCGGCCTCTAATAATAATTATGAAAAATAAGTATGATGCAAATAAAATGTATAACTTGGCAAGTTTTAACTGTAAGAATGTCAAACGTTCAGTGGATGACGTAAGGCAACTGTGTCGGACATCGCAAATTATCGCCCTACAAGAGCATTGGTTGCTGCCGCATGACATCGATTTCCTGAGCTGCATTGATGACGAGTTCGCCTACACTGGTATTTCTGCAGTGGATACGACGGCGGGCATGCTGCGCGGGCGACCCTACGGAGGCGTTGCTCTATTGTGGCAGAAAAGTGTGTTCCCAAACGTGTCGATTGTGCCGTGTAATAATACAAGAATATGTGCAATTAAAATAATGTTACATCAAAAATCGATATTAGTGATGAGTGTATACATGCCAACAGACAGTGCTAAAAATTTACTGGAGTTCACTGAGTGTCTTGGAACCTTAAACGCTATTGTTGTCAGTGAAGGTATTGAATCTGTTTACATGCTCGGCGATTTTAATGCGCACCCAGGTGAGCAATTTTACTATGAATTATGTAATTTCTGTATTGACTTGGAATGGTACTGTGCAGATGTTGTGAAGTTAGGACTAACGTCTGACACTTATAGTTATGTGAGCGATATAAATGGTTGTATGAGCTGGCTGGATCACTGTGTGGTCACAAAGTCGGCACTTTCAACGGTTCATAACATATCTGTTAGGTATAGTCCGGTAGTCTCTGACCATTTCCCTTTAATAGTTCAATGTAATTTTAATGTTATTCCTCCAAAATTAATTAACTTAAATAATAATTCTAAGCTTGATAATAAAGTACAATGGGGGGTTCGAAATAAAGACCAAATTGTGCATTTCAATAGATTATGTCATGAACGGTTGAAGGAAATAGATTTTCCTACGGAATTCAGACACTGTTGTGACAATTATTGTAGAAATATAAATCATAGACGTATTATTGATAAAATGTATGTAGATATAGTAGATGCACTGTCCAGTTCTGCTTCTGATAGCTGTGTTGCAAGTCGGGCTAGAAAGAAAAAACATATTAATGGTTGGAATATGCACGTTCGGGAGGCTCACGGGAGGGCTAGGTATAAATTTCAAGTGTGGGTCCTTTGTGGCAAACCGCGAGTAGGTTGTGCTTGGGAAGAAATGCGTGAAAGTCGAAGGATATTTAAATCTCGCCTAAAGTTGTGTCAGAATAATTATGAACAAATAAAGATGGATAAACTCGCTTCACTACATTCTAAGCATGATTTTCGTAGCTTTTGGAAAACTACTAGTAAATTTAATAATAAACCTGGTTTGCCTGTGAGCGTCAGTGGATTCCATAGTCCTAAGTCTATAGCTGACCTGTTTAGGGAACAATTTACCGTCAAATCGCCCTTGGGGCCATCACAGATTATCTGTGGAGTAGGTCCTCATGGGCAGGAAATGAGTATTAGGTTCACGGCGAGAGACGTGAGGGAAACCATTAGATCTATATCGGGAGGCAAGTCACCCGGGCACGACAGTCTCAGTGTAGAACACCTCAAGTATGCTGGAGTACACCTGCCTAGAGTACTTGCCATGTTTTATTCTCTATGTATTGGACATTCATACCTACCAGCTAATATGCTGAAGACTGTGGTAGTCCCAATTGTGAAAAGCAAAACTGGTGATGTAAGTGACCATAGAAATTATAGGCCTATTTCATTGGCCACTATTATTGCAAAGGTTCTTGACGGTTTGCTTAACACACAGCTTGATAAGTACCTTAGCATCCATGATAACCAATTCGGTTTCAAATCAGGACTCTCCACAGAATCTGCTATTCTGTGTCTAAAGCAAACTGTCAGGTACTATACTGATCGATGTACGCCTATTTATGCGTGCTTTTTAGACCTTTCAAAGGCCTTTGACCTAGTTTGCTATGATATTCTGTGGCAAAAATTAAAGAATATAGCTATGCCACAAGAACTAATATACATCTTTCAGTTTTGGTATCTAAATCAGGTCAACTTTGTTCGGTGGTCAAATGTGTTTTCGGACCCGTATAGGTTGGAGTGTGGGGTGAGGCAGGGGGGGCTGACCTCTCCGAGACTTTTTAACCTGTACGTCAACGCCCTAATAGAGGAGCTTAGCAGCACGCGTATCGGATGCCACATTGATGGAGTCTGTACCAATAATATTAGCTACGCAGATGATATGGTGCTGCTGAGTGCCTCAGTTTGTGGACTGCGAAAGCTGATAGGTACATGTGAAGCGTATGCTCTTAGTCATGGTCTTTTATATAATGCTAAGAAAAGCGAGTGCATGGTCTTTCGGGTCAAAGGGAAGAGTTCTGACACCATTCCGCCCATTAAACTGAACGGTACCATGCTTAAAAGGGTCGACCAATTCAAGTACCTCGGTCATTTGGTGACCTCTGACCTGAGGGATGATGCAGATATGGAGAGGGAGCGAAGGGCGTTGTCTGTTAGAGCCAATATGATAGCGCGCAGGTTTGCTCGTTGTTCGGGGGGCGTCAAAATCGCTCTGTTTAGAGCATTTTGTACGTCTTTCTACACGAGTGCCTTGTGGGTGGCATATACGCAGAAACAGTTCAACGCCCTTCGAGTACAATATAATAATGCGTTCAGGATGCTGATGGGGCTGCCGCGGTACTGCAGCGCTTCGGGGATGTTTGCTGAGTGGCGCGTCGACTGTTTCTATACGACGCTACGGAAACGGTGCGCATCCCTAGTGCGCAGGGTCCGGGGCAGCCCCAACATCATCTTAAACGCACTCTCCGCAAGATTTGACTGTCAGTACATTAATCATTGCTCTATGATTAATGTACTGACTAACGAACAAATAGCAAAATGCATAAATTGACTTGTTTGAATTGTTTGAATTTAATTTAATGTGAATTGAAATGAAATTTAAATATTTTATTATTATTATAATTATTAACTGTAACCTTAAACCTATGACTGTGTGTTGAAATAAATGAATTATTATTATTATTATTATTAGTAACTCTATTGGAAAAAATCGTAGCAGAGGTAAAGTTGTGTTGCTACGACTGCTACGACTACGAGACTACGAGGAACAATTTCGTAGCTACGACGCATGTAATAGTCTATGAAAGTTTGTACAGCTATTCACCGCTAGGGGCGCTGTGTAAATTATAGATTTATTTAGGTTACAATTTCTTTAGCTACAACTGTGTATTATTTTTACCCGAAGGAGGATGTTTATCGTTATATTTTACCACGAATAATGTATAATTTTTAGGTGATAATAGAGCCGGAGCCGCCTTCCGAAGAGCCCCGCTACAGGCTGGTGCCGCTACCGGACCTGACCTCCAAGTACTGCAAGGAGATGGACGACAAAGAGGCAGAAAGGAAGCAGGCTGAGCTCGACAAGATCGAAAGGGAGAAGCAGAGGAAGATTGCGGTAAGTAATCAATAATTAACAAATAATTACGTGGTAAAATTCCTCTACGAACACGTAATGCTAGCCTTGAAAACACAATTAGGCCGAGTTGCACCATCTGACCTTAACTTTAACTAACATCAAAAATCAGTCAAATTCCATACAAAAAGCACCGGTCATTGTTATAGTTACGGTCAGGGTAAGTTGGTGCAACTCACCCTTCTTCTTCTTGTCGTGTCGACAACAAACCTTCAACAAATCGACCCTTAGTGACCACAGTTAAAGTCGAAAGTAAGCCAAACAATGATATCATAGATTGTTTCTTCCATACAAAATCTAATGGAAAATTATTAAACTAAAGAAAACTATCGAGTCACAAGTCAGTAGTATAACACTATGTGTGGTGTTTGTCAAGGTGCGTCATATGATTTATGTTACTCTTTTAAAAACACTCTTATTTAGCTAAAGTTTTAAGGATCCGCAGCATTATCTTTAAGATTATTTTATACTATAAAATATCGACGGTATTCGACAGGAGCTAGAAGCCCCGCTTCCAGACCCCATCGATGGTTGGCGCACCCATGCCTGGGTGCTAATACTGCCTGGGCCCATGGGAGTGGAAGCACCCTTCTTCATCGAGCCCAGCGAGGGCAAAGCGCATTCCCTGGACGCTCCGCAGTACCAGAACCTGGAATCGGTGTATAACCATGAGAACTACTATGTGAGTACAATAACTAGTAGCGTAGGCTAATCTTCGTAAGCCAGACCCAATCGACGACTGGTGCAAGCTCAAACTCAAATACAACATTTGGCATAACTTAGAATAGAATAACTTACTCGACTTAAGATCCTATGTCCCCTAAATGGGGCAGGGGGCGTCCACAACAGTCTTCCATCGCGTTCGGTGTTGAGCTTCGCGTTTGATCTCGCTCCAGGTCCTGTCGATTTTCTTAGAAAAACGCACCAGTATCATACTAATTTTAACTATTATAACACAAAACGAATATTACGCACATATCTGTCGAAAATAATCCATTAATTAATGAATAATTAATAACCGGGTTAATAAACCCAACTCGAAGTTACCTCCTCCAACGTCCTAAAGGTGAACCTGCAAAGCTGTGCCGACGGCCTCGGCGCGCTCAACTTCGACCTGATGGACCTGACCTGCTGGGAGCACCTCATCGCTGGAGAGCCCTTCCACCGCCGTCTATTCGTGGGCATCGACGTGGCTGACAAGCGAACCGCTGTGGAGACGGAGAAACATCTGGACATACCCGCCAGCTGGGTGGAGAAGCTGGACATTAGCGCTGATGGTAGGTATAGATCGTTTCATCCACGAAGACGCGCCCCACCATTCTTCCGCTAATGTTTGAGTGTTTTCTCGGATCAAACTCCCCACACCCCGCGCTTCCTTCGACCAAAAATTGGTGTGGCGCGTCTTCGTGGATGAAACGATCTAAGTAATAGTAGAGAAGTTGCGCTATGTCACACTGGCAATGTATCTAAGATATTCTTAAGATGAGTATAAACTAGAGCATAGTAAATGCACAACAACACACAACAGAACAACGAGCCGCTCTATGACATGTTCTAGTGAACCCTTTTACGAATCAAAAGTGCATAGGAAACTGAGCTTTTACCTGTAGTCTAGTCTATTATATAGAAATGCTCCAGAAAATCTAGTATATCCATCACAATAGTTACGCCTGTTTCAGAATACGAGCAAAGATACCCGGGCAGCTATAAAGTGATACGTTACAAGAAGGTGGTTTTGGAGAAGTTCGCACCGTACTCCGAGAGGGATGGGATTGTCAAGCGAGTCAAGATTTTTGATGATTACGCGTACACTGTACCATTATTGACGTAAGATTTTTGAAATAACCAATCCAGAATAGCTAATTTTATCCCTTCTGCGCTGCGTAAACTCAACCACAGACTTGGAACTGGAAAGAATCATTATTATTTCCAGATACGAATGGTACAAAAACCGAGTCGACAAGATGGAAACCGTTAAAATAGACCACGTTGGCAGAGAAATACGCGAAACTTTCGGAATAGGCAGAAAGGATCACCTCATAAGTGAGTCATCTTGATAACAATTTTATCAGGGTCTCATAAAGATCACTCTCATCTTGACTATGAGATTAAGGCTGGGTAGCACCATCTTACTTTAACTTTGACAAACGTCAAAAATCTGCCAAACTTCACACAAAAAACGCCGGATAACGTTTTAGTTACGGTCAAAGTTAGGTGGTGCAACTCAGCCTGAGAATACAGGGACAGGTAGCGTATTCTATCCTTGGGTTTTGAGAGAACCAATTTTTAATATTGAAATGACTATTCCAGAACACGTGTACTCCATCGATGCCCCCATCGTGTCAGTGGAAGGTGTCCGTACGCTGGAGTTCAACTACTACGCCCGGCTGGACCACCTGACCAAGCTGGTCTGCTCGCCGCTGACCTTCGACGAGCACTACACTAACAGAGATGATAGGTATGTGTCTAAAACTCAGGAATATTACAGCTTTGACTAAATTAGTATAATATCTATCCACTTAGCTGTAATGTAACTTTATATAGAGACAGACGTCTGAGTGAATCTAAATGCCTTGAAATTATACAGATCTGTTCATCATCAGTCCAGCGGATAACGGTGTTGAAACCCGTGGGGATCTCGAATCGGCCAGTACGACACCGACATCGTAGGGCTATTGTCCCTTTTATTTTAAAGTTTTTATGTTTTTTTTTTCAACATTGAAAAATTTGCTGTTGGAACGGCTAATGTTTCATTTACAGACTAGAATCACGAATAATAACTTATACCGAAGGGAACAAAGCAGAACCCAAACGGCAAGTGAAAGACGTGGTAGAGACTTACAGCAGGAACTACGCCATGGAATCCAAAGACGACGTCTGGAAGAAGATATTCCACATCCAGGAAAACACCATAGAACTGCTGTACCACTACGCGTACAACTTTGTGACGAATAACACTAGGCACTTCATAAAACCTAACTTGGCTGAGACTGGAGGACGGATCTTGTTCTATCCTGATAAGACGTCTGGGTACATTGTGAGTTATATTTTTTGATTGCATAACTTAGTTATTAATAAGATTTACACAAGTGTGGGAGAGAAAGTGATTTAAAATATATCGCTTAAAAACTTAATATTCCATCTATAACCGAAAGCACAAAATTTATTCATAAATAATAATTTCTCAGTTTCTTCCTTTTGCACCCATTTCTCGTAGCACATCAAACAGAATCGCGCGTTTTGTACCTACTTAATTATGACAAGAACATCGCTTTGCTTAGCCCTTTTCACTGCAACTGCTGATAAAAAGCTAGGTAGGTACTCGTACTTAAATAAAGTTAATTATATTAATGCTTGGGAAAATGCTTCAGTTGCTGGCAAAGCAATTTTAAAACAGCTCTCCAATCGCTGCTTTTCTAGGTACCTACATTGTAACAGACTCTCCAAACATCCCTAATTCCCCATCTTCTAGGCTGACCCCTGCGCCGCCTTACCCCGGCCTCTAAACGTATACTACGCACTCTGCGACAACATGACCTGGGAGTACAAGACGACCAAGCATATCCGCGACCGCGAGACCGACATCAATGGCTACCTACGGCAACGGCACAAGGAGCTGACGGAGCCGATGCTGTATGTGGCGCTGTTTGATACCGAGAGAAACGAGGCGGCGAAGAAGGGATGGAAGGAACAGGTGAGGCATTACTGCTTACTATACTTTACAGCACGTAAAGATACAAATTCTACAACCAACCTATGGCCAATGATATCTAGATAGCGTGGGGAACGTAGGCCAAATCCTCCATTTCCTCTGATAAATTAGATAAGGTCGTGGTGTTGTACTGAAGACGTGTGGAAGAATGAGCTGAGATGATGATTTTCATAAAAGCTCGGTAAAACCGAATTAAATAGTATTCGTCTGTGAACGCCAATAAACTAAGTAAATACTAACGGCACCTTTAATAGTTCCGTAGTTGGCGTGGATTAGATTTTTTAAGCATCCTGCTAATCATGGTCAATACCTAATATTCTTATATTTGAAGTATGTTTTTCACTAATCACTGGACTAAAATGGTGAACACATTCTCGCGAATCCCAAACCTTTGGTTTTTGGTCAGAATCAAACAGTTTGGTTCAAACTTCTCCATTATCATATTGCCTTTTGCCTGATTCTAGGAAACCCAAAAAGCCGAAGTGACTGAACGAGAGAAGGAGGCCGAAATAGATCCTCTGGCACCGTACCTCGCTCGCATGTTCGGAACTGGCCGCGGCACCGGCGCTCCGCTCACCGTCAAGGAGGCAACCCTGGTCAGGGAGCAGTGCATCAACGACTTTAAGGCCAAACAGCTGGTTCGACAGAACTTGGTGCAGGAGAGGTTTGATAAGGTACGTAACTGCTTTTGTTGGGAAGAACAATAATGTTGCTTAATTCTGTGGTCTTATAGTGTGTTTTTGTGTCTCCCAGTAGTGCGCCTAGTCCTTACTCCCTAAAACACTAAGTAGTCCCTAGAGCCCTAGCCATCGTCAGCCACGATCGTACACAGACAGCACACGATAAACGATAAATACAGTGTGAGTCTTGATAAAGTGCACATATGAAAATAGGTATGTCTAGTTTCACCTATTTTCATATGCGCACTTTATTAAGAATAAGTTAAGTTATTTTCTAGTTTATTCATGGATCATGTTTTCTTTAACCACCTTTCCAAGATACCACGGGCATTTTTCTCACCAGTGGAAGGGTAAAAAGACACGGATGAAAACTTATTCTTAATACTTTCAGCTCAATTCGGAGTACAAGGCGAAGAGGCTGTGGTACCTAGCCAACCAGTTCATACTTACGCCTGAAAAGGAGAGCGCCTACTTCGCGGCCAGGTAATACCTACTTTCATAGCTATAATCAGCTCAACTAGTCAATAAGAATAGCCACTATTATGGTTCAGCGAAACATTCTCCTTGGTTTTGACTGAACGCCTTAAGCTTCAACCACACTTGGTGTGATTGAAGCATTAGTTTGGCTGAAGCTTTAACACGTTTAACGCTGCGCCATGCTTAATTTGATTATTCGCTATTTGTTAGCATTCACTCTCAATTTTTTTGCAGTGCTTATTCTTCTTGTCGTGTTAACAACAAACCTATAAGGTATCAGCCCAAAACTCTGCTACAAAAGTGGCGTTATCAGTTGCATTCTTTAAAATTTCCTGCGTGCAGTTGTTTTGGGCACGCAGGACACGACATTATGTGCCTGCCAGATTGTCAGGATAAGTTAACACACATAATAACGAACAAAATAAAATAAAATAAATAAATATTTTTTTCTTTATCAGTGCCGAACTGGCGTTCAGCGTCCACACGCTAGAGGTGCGGCTGACGAGGCACAAGGACCTGTCAGGCCCCAGGTTCAAGATGCTGGAAGAGTATCTGGACAAGCACCCGTTGCTGCGAGACTACAACCGCATGAGGCACTATTACAAGTACAAATAATTTGTATTGATAGACTGATATAAGCTGGCTTTTGTAAGGACGCCAGCACTTTTCATCAATCGAACCTAAATGTTTAAATTCTATTGGGGAAATTGATCGTATTTTGAACTTAGCTCTTGTAAGTACCTATCCCAAATTTTTTACTAAAAATTCTAGTACGTTATTTAATTATGTAATCACACATAAAATAATATGCTTTATAATTGTGTATTTTGTTAAAACGTGCAATATGATGAGAACATTTTAGAGGTTTAATAATATTGTTATTCTACATTTTATGCTGTTAGTATTAACTATAGCAAAATAAAACTCTTAAAACGTTTTAAATATTTATTTTATTGTTAGTATTTCGTCTTTATTTCTTTGAAATTAAAAGATGTAAAGTACAGTTCCATTAAAAAAAAACTGTTGAAGATCTGTCCCAACGAATTTCATTGCTTTCAATTCTCTGCGGTTTGTGTATATTTTTTTAACACGTCACTTTTCATCTTAACCCTTTCACAGACACAAATGAGATTCAACTTATTACAGCCCGCGAGCTTGTGCTTGGGCAGTGTTGAGGACTACGGATGGTGCCAAGTCGGGAGTTTTTGTTTTAACACTTCTTCAGTTTAAGCCTTTCGTACTGCGGGGCGTACGTGGGGCGTACAAGAGGCTATTGCTTGGGCAGCAGCTAGGAGGATAGAGTCGCAGGAGTAGCAGTATATAGTATATTCACATCACTGCGGGGCGTACGACAGTCCCATACTTCGGGGCGTACGTGGTGCGTGCGACACATGGAGCGCAACAGCTACAGCCTGAAGGACAGTGTCAAAGGAGTCGCAGTTGTATATTGTATTTCACATCACTGCGGGGCGTACGACAGTCCCATACTGTGGGACGTACGTGGGGCGTGCGACACTGGCTAGTGCTTGGTCAGCAGCCGGGGGGCTGCAGGTGGCCAGGAGGCTTTTGTTTATTTTTTTAACACTTCACTTTTCAACCTTTCATCAACCACATTGCAGCCATTATAGTATAATAGCAGTGTCGATGAATTCGCAGTATATTCACATCACGGGGCGTACATAGGTCGTACGTGAGACGTGCGACACAGCAGGCTAGTGCTTGGGAGGCTGCAGGTGGCTACGAGGTTTTTCTTTATTCTTTTAACACTTCACTTTTCAACCTTTCATCCGCCATTGCAGTTTCAAGGATAGTGTCGCAAGAGTAGCAATAAATTGTATATTCACATCACTGTGGGGCGTATTACAGTCCCATATTGCGGGGTGAACGTGGGTCGTACGTGGGGCGTATGACACACGGGCTAGTGCTTGGGCAGCAGCCAGGAGGGCTGCGGGTGGCTGAGGTCGGTGTTCCAGTCGCCGGCGCCGCCCAGCAGGTTGCCGCGCCCGTCGTGCGTGGCCAGCGCCAGCCGCGATAGTTTGTTAGCTAGTCGCCGTTGAGGTGAGTCCGGCCGGGAGAGCGGCGGGAGAGAGATGCTTCCAGAATCTGGAGGACATTAAAATTTAGTCAGAGTTGCCCTTTACGACCTTTGCATCTCATTTTATAAGCAAACCAGACTAGCTATTCAAATTATTTGGATAGTGCTGGAGGAAGAGTCGTCAAAAAGGTCACGAAGCGGCATTCTTAGAATTACCAAGCTATAGTAGAACAATATGTTTCGGTAACACTGATCTAGACTAGTGATAATAAATAAAATTATAGTACTGTCGCAGGTGTAAGTGCCACTGACCTGAGTGATAATCGTAGTTGGCGTGGTCGCTAGGCGTGTCCTGTCCAAGCCGCTTGCGGTACTCGCCCGCGAAGTGCTCGATCAAGGTGTCCATCATTATCGCTTGCTTTGAGAATACCTGCAGTAAAGATAATGTTTTTGTAATATTTTTAAGATATGTGTTAGGAGTACCTAAACAATACTTATTAAATAATAATGAATGAAAATAAGTTAAAAATAAAAAAATATTGAAATGAAATTGTACGGCGCGACGCCCCGCCCGCATCCAAAGTGTTAACAGCGAACACTTGCAATGCATTTGCAGTTGTTGTAATAAATGCTTTGAAACAAATATACTTTCGTGTTATCATACTTAAGGTTCTTCTAAGACTGACCTGTAGAATTTTGGAGACCCTGAGTCCGTTTTCAACAACCATGAACTGAAGGAAGAGGCACGGTAGACAGTCTTCGTTGTCGTCAGACGGCAGTCCGATGTCCCAGGATAACTCCTCGTAGAGCAGTCCCAGTAACACAGTCTGAGGAAAATTTAGGATCTTCCATCATACATTCCATGCTTGCAAACATTAAAATGGCCTTATCGACACTTCAACAGTTAAGATGTTGTCCAACTGTCGGACACGACGCAACGGTACTCTGAACTGTCTCCATATGTTACATGAACCAGAAATGAGGAGATCCGTAAACGAACTAAAGTCGCTAACATAGCCCAACGGATTAGCAAGCTGAAGTGGCAATGGGCAGGGCACATAGTACGCAGAACTAACGGCCGTATGGTTCTGGAGTAGAGGCTACATAACAACGTGGGACGTCCACTCAGAAGGTGGATCGACTTCCTCATAAAGGTAACAAGAAGGCGCTAGATGCAGGCTTCTACCAACTGGGTGATGAGGAAATCATTGAGGCCTGTGTTCAGCAGTGGACGTCCTGTGGCTGAAATGATGATGATGATGGCACTATGGTCACACTCGTGCGTGAATAGGCTGCTGAGACTTCTGGCTGCTCGATGTGTCTAGGAGCCCTGTACTGTGAGTACTGTGACGTCACACTCACGCTCTCGGTGTCGTCGATGACGTAGACANAATTATTATTATTATTATTACTAATAGTCCCGTTAGCCCCTCGTACTAAGCTAAATATGCTTGCTTGTATCTCGAGTGAGCTCACCACAATAGTCGAGCGGCGGCGTCGACCGAACCCGCGTTCCCCGGATCACGAATCGGCCAGTCCGACCCCTTCACCGTTCGGCTATCGTGGCTTCAAATTTCTCTGATCCATGTCCCTTCTCATAGTCAATTCTCCCCCATCTGGGGGTTTACACCACAAAAACGGTACTTCGCGTCGAGCTGTTAACGTTGTTTTGATAACCAGTGACTAAAGAAAAATGTTCATCTACCTACAGGGCATCGACGAGCTCCCCGAGCAAGTGTCATCGCTACTGCGGCTGGCGACGCGAGCGCCACCTATCGCGCGCGCCGCGCTCGCGTGGGGACTTTCCGCGCTTGGAGCGTTACTTATACTCCTAGCGGTCACCTGCCTCATACGGTGAGTAGTTAGTTAGGTTGTTGGTTAATAGATGACGCTAGTTCAAGTGTCTAACTGGACAATAGCACAGAATAAGTAATAGTACAGGTACAGAAGGATTACTCCGCAAGACGATTTAAATAAATGCGAGTCTTGCTACGACGCGATACAGTAGAATTCAGCTCGCACAGCACTACNAGTTTGTTATTGTTTAATAAAGCGAAAATTACTCTTAAAAAAAAAAAAAAAAAAAACTTTTTTTGTAAATACATATATTATACATAGTAACACCCAGCCCCATCACAGAAATTAAATAAAATTCATCATTTCAATTTCTGCCCGTCCGGGAATCGAACCTGGGACCTCTCGGATTAGTAGTCCGTTCCGAACCACTACACCAAACGGCCGACCTCTTTCTTAGAAAGATTACGCACTGTATTCAAATCTGTAAAAGGAACAAATGATATCAATTACATTCTGCTACTTCAGGACATTCTCAGAATTGAACCGGATGTAATACGTAGATGATGTGCTATCTTTTATGGGATTTTCTCGCCTTTTTGGTAGATCCTTTGATGTGGAAAATTTATGAAAAGCTTCTCTATTCTACGCAATCTATGTTGTCCAGTGTGTATATCTTATATCCATGCCTCTATGTAGCTTAATACAACCAAATATCCGCGATAAAAATGTCCGCACACCTAAGAATTACTCACGTTGCCATTAAAAAGGACATAGTACTAACACTGTCGTAAATGGCCGATCGTAAAACGGCCTTTAACATAAAGCCTACATGTGTTATAAATGTCGCAGGCAAATTGTATGACTCCGCATTTTACAAACGGCGTCGTCAGTTCACAAACGCTCGCTGTTCTATGAAATGCCGAAGGCAAAATGTAAATTGCCTTGGCACTTTATAATATGCCACAAAATTTGATAGCCAATTCAATTGCCGTTTACAAAATGCCGTGGCAAATTGAAGTATTTAGTTCTTTTTCTTACCACGCGAGGCGCTGCTTATCAAAACAATAAAAATGGCGTCGAGTAGTGATATTGTGATACAGAAAAAAGTGCAAATTCTACGTATTCAAAGGACTTTTCACAAAAAAGTATTGTTTTAAAGACATTAACTTTAGTGAATTGAGGAAATTTTACGATTCACAAATAGGAGCAGTGAAAAAGCCGTGGACAAATGAAAAAGTTTTTGAGGTTATCTTGCACGTAAAAAACGCTAAGGTGACAATGGAATCTGGTGCGCGGAGGACTGCTGCGGTATAAAAAATATGGTGTTATGGCTTCTTCTAGGTATAATTAAAATGTTTTTTTTTTTATGCTTAACAAGGCAGGTATTTGACCACAATCGCACCTGATGTTAAGTGGGATGCAGTCTTGGACTTTTAAGAACTGATTATCGTAACTTATTTTTAATTTTATGTCATAGTTTTATGTACCTAACTATCCGTTTGTCTTTAATCGAAAGTATCATATTATTCATAAAAGTTGTGTTATTGTTACTTAGGTACGTCATCAATTTAAATTAGTTTAGTGTTGTTTTTGTTACGAAAATATTTAATTTACTTGTAGCACGAATTTTAAGTTTGTTCTATTTGAATACATAGATTTCTGGTTTCTGAAATAAAGTCTAAATTGTCCAACATGTGTTTTATGATGGTCACCCTAATGCAACAATCATAGTCGAAATTTTATCAATTGAACGAGTCGCCAATTTGCCTTCGGCATTTCATAGAACAGCGAGCGTTTGTAAACTGACGACGCCGTTTGTAAAATGCGGAATCATACAATTTGCCTGCGACATAAATACCACGAATAATGATATTTCTGTAATAATAACATCGCATGAGTTCCGTCAATATAGGTAGTACTTTTAAACGAAAAATTGCGTAGGTAGCCTTAGTTTGTTCATTTGCCACAGGTCACAGGTTCTGTTAAAGGTAATATGGAAAATCTAAACAGATACTCAGAACCTAAATTTCATTATAATATCCCTCTATAAAATCCGTCTTATCTTACCCGTATTTTTAAGATACGCACAAGAATATTTGATCTAGTAAGTGAATGAGTGTGTATCAAAATTCAACGAAACTGGGTTTTCGTTTCATCTTACTAGAGCATTTTTGAAACGTCTTTTAGCTCGTTTTCGAGTGTACGTACACAAGCTTGTTTTGTGCTAGCTACACGCTCGTGCCCATGCAAGCGTAGAAGCGTAGACGGTCTAACTAGCTCGTAACGCGCGAACGCCTACGAAGCTACGCCGGATAGTGCTACGCGGAACGCTAATCTGAAAGAGCCTTCTAACTTTGATTCTATTTAACTTTCGAGATTAAAGCCCGTATTGAAACGGATCTAGAAACTTATTTCACATGTAAAAAGCATTAGTTTTGAGTGTGCTTGAATTTTGAATTTGAATATTTTTCAAATGTCTGTATACTTTATTTCCAGCATATAAAAAACCGAATTACGTGAGTGGAGCGGCTGGAATAGGCTATAATAATATCTAAATATTAATTTGAGACACGTATGTGACCAAAACAAGAACGTAATACGTGCTTCATCTGGATAAGAAGTCACAGGCTTCTTCTATCTTCGAGAATGCTATTATTAAATCAAGTCCCATAAGAATAAAATGCTACATTGAGCATTTAAGAAATTATCTTCAATAAAGGCACAATTACATTACGAATCCGACTCGGGGGACCGTGGTAAATTCTTATGCATTATTCTTTTAATGTGTTCAAATTTAAATGCTTAAATAATCTATGAAGATCAAAAATGCTTTGTAGTTACTATGCCTTGCAAATTAATAATAAAATGTAGCCCTATTCTTTACCTTCCACAAGATGATGAATTGCTTAAAGGATTTGAAGTTTACACCTTTTCAATAAGGATCAAAATCAACTGAGATATTAACGTTTGATGTGCAGTGGACTGTACTTGTAAGTGCCTACGTAATTATTGTTCGTAACCGTGACGGCAAACAATAAATACCGTAGGTATAAAGCAGCCATAAAATATAATTTATGATGATGGTTAGTGCCTATTCTATTAAGATGCTGTTCCAAAATCACTCGTAAACAAAATCATTACGAATTCCCAACTGTCTTTACCAGTATTTATTTATAAAACACAAAGATGTTTACGATTTGCGATCCGTTAAAAATGTGCGCTGTAAAATTACTAAACTGAGCTGGTTACTATAATCCCTGTTTAGCGGTCCCATCAATGGGGATTAGCGATTTTTTATTTGAAAGATGATTAAAAATAGATTTTCTCGAAGGTGAACCAGAAGCCATTGAAGTAATATTACTGCGTAGTACATTACTCAATGCCAGAGGCCTTTAGCTTGCGAGCGACTACGATACACTTTGTTGGTATACACAAAATAATCAAGTAAATGTTAATCTGTGGTTAATCTCATTCGATGTTCACTTCATTCATTCAGAGTGAAAGAAGCACATGTATCAATATGTCAATGTCACTACTTTTTTCTCCTTCCTTGGAAGAATACAGTTTTTACTTTCTGAAACGGCTTTTTGTTATTTTCTCAAACCCCATTTCCAATACACTTTGAACTACATTGGAATCATGTCGAAATTTTTACATATTTTTTACATTTCTCTCTATTTGGGATAAAATCAATAACCTAATAGAGATTTGTGAAAGATGAGTTCTTCATTGTGTGAATTGAATCTCACGATGTGATGAGGCACATTAAGCTGCAATAGCTTATAGCGGCTATAATCAAGAGTCAGATTTTTATGACCTGNTGATTAAAAATAGGCTCTCTTTTAAAAATAGGAAGCAAGTCTCATTTGGCATTTGCGATGAAGATTAGTTCTTTACAATTTTGAACTAACCATAAAATAAGTACCTACTAAGTATAATTAATGCCCGCCTCTGTGGGTCCATATCAAGACCGTGTGTCAACGAATACCCTTTACCAAGATAAAGGATACCCAAAGGGTAACCCTTTGATTAAAGATAAAAATGTGTTGATAATTCTGTTAATTTATTGCCTAAAAGTTGTGAGAAGTTTCTTATCATGTAATGTTCTGGCGAAAGAGTATAATGAAGCTGATACAATAACAGCACCCCGATGATATACTCGTAAGTACGGTTTAACACGATAGTTGACCATGTTATCAGGATAAACATTAAAACAACAAGTAATAGCTTAGGCGCATTGACATTTCAGCGTTCGCTAGAGTTGAGCATGGCACTGAAATAATCAAATACCTCTTTCTTAGAAACGCACTTTACGCACTGTATTGAATTCAAATCTGTAAAAGGAACATGATATTACTTACATTCTGCTACTTCAGGACATTCTCAGATTTGAACCGGATATTATATCAATATTGATGGGATATCTTTTATGGGATTTTCTCATTTTTTTGGTAGATCCTTTGATGTGGAAAATTTATGAAAAGCTTCTCTTTTCCACGCAATCTATGTTGCCCAGTGTGTATATCCTATATCCAGCCTCTATGTAGCTTAATACAACCAAGTAACCGTGATAAAAATGTCCGCACACCTAAGAATTACTCACGTTGCCATTAAAAAGGACATAGTACTAACACTGTCGTAAATGGCCGATCGTAAAACGGCCTTTAACCTAAAGCCTACATGTGTTATAAATACCACGAATAATGATATTTTTCTTAATAGTACCATCGCATGAGTTCCTTCAATATAGATTTAAACGAAAAATTGCGTAACCCTAGTTTGTTCATTTGCCACAGGTCACTGGTTCTGTTAAAGGTAATATGGAAAATCTAAACAGATACTCAGAACCTGAATTTCATTATAATGTCCCCCCTCTATAAAATCCGTCTTATCTTACCCGTATTTTTTAAGATACGCACAAGAATATTTGATCTAGTAAGTGAATGAGTGTGTATCAAAATTCAACGAAACTGGGTTTTCGTTTCATCTTACTAGAGCATTTTTGAAACGTCTTTTAGCTCGTTTTCGAGTGTACGTACACAAGCTTGTTTTGTGCTAGCTACACGCTCGTGCCCATGCAAGCGTAGAAGCGTAGACGGTCTAACTAGCTCGTAACGCGCGAGCGCCTACGAAGCTACGCCGGATAGTGCTACGCGGAACGCTAATCTGAAAGAGCCTTCTAACTTTGATTCTATTTAACTTTCAAGATTAAAGCCCGTATTCTGAAACGGAACTAGAAACTTATTTCAAACTAAATGTAAAAGGCTTACATTTTGAATTTGAACATTTTTCAAATATCTTTGTACTTTACTTCCACCATAAAAAAGCGAATTTCAGCGGTGAAATAAGCAACATGAATATCTAAATATTAATTTGAGACACGTATGCGACCAAAACACGAACGTAATACGTGCTTCATCTGGATATGGATAAGAAGTCTCAGGCTTCTTCTATCTCCGAGTAGAATGCCATTATTAAATCAAGTCCCATAAGAATAAAATGCGACGTTGAGCATTTAAGAAATTATCTTCAATAAAGGCACAATTACATTACGAATCTGACTCGGGGGACCGTGGTAAATTCTTATGCATTATTCTTTTAATGTGTTCAAATTGAAATGCTAAAAGAATCTATGAAGATCAAAAAATGCTTTGTAGTTACTCTGCCTTGCAAATTAATAATAAAATGTAGCTCTATTCTTTACCTTCCACAAGATGATGAATTGCTAAAAGGATTTGAAGTTTACACCTTTTCAATAAGGATGATTTTGATCAATTGAGATAGTGACGTTTGATGTGCAATGAACTGTACTTGTAAGTGCCTACGTAATTATTGTTCGTAACCGTGACGACAAACAAAATACCGTAGGTATAAAGCAGCCATAAAATATAATTTATGATGATGGCTAGTGCCTATTTTATTAAGATGCTGTTCCCAAATCACTCGTAAACAAAATCATTACGAATTCCCAACTGTCTTTACCAGTGTTTATTTACAAAACACAAAGATATTTGCGATTTACGATCCGTTAAAAATGTGCGCTGTAAAATTACTAAACTGAGCTGGTTACTATAATCCCTGTTTAGCGGTCCCATCAATGGGGATTAGCGATTTTTTATTTGAAAGATGATTAAAAATAGATTTTCTCGAAGGTGAACCAGAAGCCATTGAAGTAATATTACTGCGTAGTACATTACTCAATGCCAGAGGCCTTTAGCTTGCGAGCGACTACGATAAAATTTCGAACTACATTGGAATCTTGTCGAAATTTTTACATATTTTTTTACATTTTTCTCTATTTGGCATAAAATCAATAACCTAATAGAGATTTGTGGAAGATGTGTTCATTTCATTATGTGAATTGAATCTCTCGATGTGATGAGGCACAATAAGCTGCATTATTATAGCGGCTATTATAATCGAGTCACATTTTTTATGACCTANATGACCTGTGTTTGCAACAAACGCGATCGCGAAGAAAAGGAACTCATACCTACTTGCCTAAGTAAATGTATTCCCATCACATGATGTTATGAATTCCTTGTTGATTTTAATGGGATGCGTGGGCGTATATCGAAAAAATCATACCTTTACGTTCACACACCGTATTTTTGCTATGAATATAAAACAAGCTCAAGTTTTCCGCATACTTAAAACGCAATCGGCTCTTCTTCCGTATTTTCACTCTGAAAGTAAGTTTGGAATCATTTTTCTTTTGTTTTTTATTTCCAATAAGACCCGCCATATGGACTACTCTTAGGCCGAGTTGCACCACCTAACTTTGACCGTAACTATAACGATAACCGGTGTTTATTGTATGGACTTTGAAAGAATTTTGACGTTTGTCAAAGTTAAAGTAAGATAGTGCAATGAAGATCTTAAATTAGTTGTTTAAACTGGTTTACGGCTCTGGCTTTAGCTGCAATTCCATCTCTTGTGTATTGACTAACTCTACATATTTGTATTATTTAACCATTCATGGAATACTACATCATTAGTAGGTACAATAGGTAATAACGTTAAATACACACTGAAAATATAGCTCCACACGTAATTGTAATTCATCAACCATTTTATTATTTTCTCACAAAGGACGGCAATTCCCTGGTGTATAATAAAAATATCTTATCACTGAAAATGTATTTCATTTGTATTTAATCTGCTTTCTGGCTTGAAATTAGGACGAATGATTTCATTAAAAAGCGAAAATCTTCTTTAAGTATAGTCAATTTAGTATATCTTTAATAAATTCCTAGATAATGTTTTATTATTAATATAGCACTTTGAATTAAGTGCTCGCTTAACTAATGATAGGCAAACGGTTAAACAAAGACTTTAAGGGATTTACTAAGTTTAATTTTGATTAAGTGTCACAGAAATACCAAAGATAAGTCCCGAAACATGAAATGTATTATTGTATAAACTTAGCTCTCAATTAAAATCAAATTCTACATAATTAAATTAATCTTAAATTTAAGAAATAATTAATAATGTACCTATAAATAATAAACCTAAGAATTTTCTATCTATCATCTTCTCAAAATAACAAAAAATACATTATAATCCAAGTAATAAAGTGTAATATGACCGGCCTAATCCAATTAGGGCATCGCGAAAATTCCTCAAAGACTTAGCCCTACACTTCTTGGCAGGAACAATTTAAAAGCGATAAATCGCTTTTATCAGTTCAGTCACCCCTACCGTAAGTTATTTCTAATTAAAATTTTACGGCATGAAATTTTTGGACTTAGATGACGTTTTATCTCAGGATGAATTGTTAAGTGGTCTGCAAAATTTTTATCTTCGGATGAAACTTCGCCGTGAAATCGCGGCTTGGAAGTGTCAGATCATCCGAAATATATAATTAATAAAATGAAATAGGTACCTACTAATAATGAAAAAGGCAAATGTAAGAATCAATTATTTTAATAATTTTATGTCATATTAGATTAGTTTGCGGATGATTCGACACCTAACAATTTGAAAGGGAGACAAATCAACCTCGGATGAAATTCCCACGGATGAAACGTCACCTAAGTCAATTTACTTACACCTAACTTAGCATATCGAAATACCTGTAATATAATTAATGCAAAATGAATTCATACCAGATAAAAAGTTTCTGAAGGCCTCTCCATGCTCTTCCCGTAGATGGCGAGAAGTCGCTGCACGTGGAAAGGCGCCCAGCACACGAAGAATGACAGCGCTACTGCCACTGGGGACAAAATAATAACATTAAGGCTGGGTTGCACCATCTTACTTCAACTTTGACAAACGTTAAAAATCTGTCAAAATGCATACAAAAAGCACCGCACATTGTTATTGTTACGGTTAAAATAAGGTGGTGCAACACCGCCTTACACAGTCAAAAAGTCGAAATGAGCCTTTGATTATCACCTGTCATTAATTTAACTTGACAAATTGAACTCCGAATACATAGGTATACCGAATACCTATTCGGAGTTCAATTTGTCAAATTAAATGATAGAATGTCAAGGACAGCTTAGGGACAGTACGCTCTCACGTGCAAAAATCAAGATTATAATGTCTACCAGTCTACACACAAAACCCGCCGACCCACCGTCATGAGTCGTCGACTTTTAACATCTTGTTAAAAGTCTTTAAAGCACAACTCGTTAACATGTCTTTTATGAAATAAAGTCGCCGACACCAACCCTTGTTGTGGTGTGTCGAATCCTTAAACCTTATAGAAAAAGTTAACTAAGAACTATGCGCAGCAATGTATAATTATGTGAGTATGTCACCTCTGTTTGATGGTAACACATTATACACTTAACTTAGTAACTATTAAGTAATCTACGACTTTATGCCCCACGGCCGCGGCATTCAGCCCTTATTTGCTTAAAGTCAAACTTCGAGTTCACGAATTTATGGTACAAATTAAAACAGTTGTTATGACCTCCAGACTTACAGGGAATCCAGACCACTTGCAATTGAATATCTTCAGCATCAAAGTGATGTTTGTTCTTTTGTGTGGTGTAAATAAATACTTATTCGTGCGAAGAAACTTAACTGTAATTAATATGTACGTACATCAGCCCACGCAGATAGAGAGGTCGAACTTTGATGGATTTTGACCTTTGTAATTTGAATATCACTGCAATATTACATGTAGGTAGGCATAAAATAACTTAAGCTGATTTTGGGATGTCTAAAATAAAACGAAGACTTTCGGCTTTGTAGGGTTTTGAAGTTTGGATGCGGGTTCGTAAAATTTAGTTGATACCTATCTACCGCCGTCATGGTTCGTCAAATAGAAGTTTATTATCGTGAACAAATGAAAATACATATTATACGTATTATAACTAATCGTAGGCTGGATATTTTGGTGATTCTAGGCACTAAACGAAATTATGAAATCATCTTCATCTATATATATAAAAATGAAACCCGTTTCGCGTTGTCACGGCATCACGTGTGAACGGCTGAACCGATTTCGATAATTCTTTTTTTTAAATGTTTGTGGAAGTCCAAGGATGGTTCTTACGGAAAAAAATATTAAGAAAATCTCTACGCTAAGGCGGTACGAAGTTCGCCGGGTCAGCTAGTTCAGAATAAAATATAATCTGCTTGAAGATATTTCAATTTTCTTCTTTTTGTTCTTAAAAGGCGTCAGTATAATCATCACTAGTTTCATTTATTGTACCTAAGGGTTAAGGAAGATTTATGTTAATGGAACATCTAGTTCTGTTTGTGTTAAACAATCTTCTTTTAAAACTTTAGGTTTATTTTGTTCTTCGATTATTAACATATTATGAGTTCACAAAAATCCCCTTTTATTAATTCTATTCTTCATATATTATAAACTTACTACGAGTACAATGTGATTCAACTTCTTACATCGCACAATTCGTTTGCAGGGAAATTTCACAGCCCCTTACTGAGATTTCTTTCGTTAAAAGCCTCTGTAATAATAATGAACTGACTACATAAACTAAATATAAACAGCCCCTTTGAAATAAAACTGATCCCATTAGCACCCACAAGTAACTTGGGTAAAGGAATAAAAATAGCTACAACATAATGATGTCATGACGCCAGCGGCTTGTTGATAAACCTGAGGTCTAAATTAAAAAGAGAAATGTTGAGTGAGGTACTACATCTTCCGTCACGATTTTTCCTAAGTATCCACTTTGTAAATCCATTTCCTGAAATTCCGCGGGCTCTAAAGATTCGCAAAAACATAATCGCTGAATTCAGACAATGCTTTGACTTGAAATTTAGATTTTCCTCCGAGATTTCATATGTTCTCTCATTAAAATTTTGTTATAGTAATATTGCATTATAACACACTGTGCAAATACAACCCACACAACGACTGCTGAAACAACTTCTGAACTTAATTTAATCTAAACTACTAGAGTAAGTTTCTCTAGAACTACGGAAATGGTTTTCTGTAGTCACTTCGACATCAGATTGTATGAGATGTATTTTTAGTGTCCGACCGAATGTTCGGTTTCGGTTTCGTTTTCGGTTGAGTTTCGGTAAAAACACGAGTTTCGGTTTAGTTTCGTTTTCGGCGGCAAACTTGCCGAAACTACGACCGAAACCGAATGTGCATTCGGGAGTTTCCGCGCTGTTATCGGTCATGTTCGGCGCGTTGAATAAGTGAATGAATCCGATCAGAGGCCTGAGCGAGCGAATCACGACATTGGCTCTGATTCAGAGCCAATGTCGTGATTCGCTCGCTTGTTTGTTTGCTGTTAGTTTTGTTTTGTTGTGGTGGCGGGTTTTCGAGTGATTTATTTTGAATTTGGTAAGTTTTATCTCGTTTTATGTCGTTATAACATAAGAGCGGGTGTAAACATCAAAAAAATATTCAATATTAAATATCTTAAATTTAAATAAATATCTTTGGACAATCTCACACAGCGCCATCTAGCCCCAAAGTAAGCAATTAATATGCTTGTGTTATGGGTGCTAGCTTAACGGATATACTACTTATATACTTTTTTTTTAAATACATACATATTATACATAGTAACACCCAGACCCGTCACAGAAATTAAAATTCATCATTTCAATTTCTGCCCGGCCGGGAATCGAACCCGGGACCTCTCGGCATAGTAGTCCGTTCTGAACCACTACACCAAACGGCCGACTATGACTGATAAAAGTATAATCAAGTTTAATCTAACCTATTTTTTTTTTGGTTCGCAAATGCTATACGTAAACAAACATTACTTATGTAGTTAGTAATGACGATAGTGCATTTCGTGGTGATAATATTATGGATTCAGAGTTTCAAAGTTAATTTTAGTATTTATCACCAAGGTATCCAAGTGGCAAGTACAGTAGATACTTAGACTTACGTAAGTACATACTACCAATTTTGTTTTGAGAAATTATTAAGGTAAAAGACCCGACCATGGGACGGGTTATGTAGATGTCCTGAATATTGCGAGTGATTAAAAAAAATCTCGACTATAAATCCTTCTTTTTCTTTTTTAATACATAATTTGATACCTTATAGAGTAAAAATGCACACTACACACGAAAACAATAAAGACTGACTTTATTTTTCCCTCAAAATATGAGCCTTGTAAGGAAGTTTCGGTTTCGGTTTCGGTTTCGGCCGAAATAGACACCGTTGCCGAAATTCGTTTTCGGTTTCGGTTTCGGTCGTAAAACTAGTTTCGGTCGGACACTATGTATTTTGTTTAAATATTAATCTTTATAGGTACTATAACTATACAAGATGCTACAGTATTTAGCTTGATATGCCGTGCACGGTGCACTGCACACAGATTGTGTGGTCTGAGGCCGTGCACCATAGATTAAAAAGATTCCAGCTTTTTCTGGAAAAAAGTAGAGACATAGAACCCTGGTTTAAGTTTTTAGTCTTTACCAAACCATCTCTACACCCTGTATGTGACTCATTCATTCACTTCCAACCTTATCAAATTGTCTGGTGGAGTTGACCTTATAGCCTTGGCCGCTTACGCAAAAGAGGCGTGCCATGATATAGGGAAACGGTGACATTTCTGATAGCCCGATTGATTTGCTTGATTTGCCACAGTATAAATAAGAATGAGTCTACGTTACTGTCGCAAGGGCCAATGTAGTAACTTATTAGTAAATCTATGCCCATAGTTTTACGAAAACTCGTGGGTTAGATCTTTTTTCTCTTTATTTTGAGTTGATCTCCTTATTTATCACTTTATTACATAATCAACTGACCTAAGGTAGCAAAGTTTAATTATAAGTTCACATATAAAGTACCTATCTACTATTCCGTTAAACCTATTAACAGTTTTAACTAAAACAAAAACTAATAGATTGAAACTTGGATATTTCCGTTTTACACTAAGGCTGGGTTTGCACCATCTTACTTTAACTTTGACAAACGTCAAAAATCTTTCAAACTCCATACAAAAAACACCGGTTATCGTTTAAGTTACGGTCAAAGTTAGGTGGTGCAACTAAGCCTAATTGTCTCTGGCTTCCGATCTTAAAATGTCAAAATTCTAGTTCAATTTATTCCTTTGTACCTTCAAATACATCTTATGTATATTAATGTAATAATAGGCGTTTCAATGTCCAATCTATGTTAATTACATTGAATACTGCATTCATTTCCTTCTTCAGCAATATTTTTTCAAGAGGGCGATAACGCCTCCTTGCGGGCGCTGGAGGCTTTCACCGAGCGGTAAAAGGCTTTGCCGATATTAGGGAGCGTTAAGGCAATCTAGAGAAACGATGGCAGACAAATCCTATCTTATAAATCCGAGTTTTTATCTCACTGTCATGAAGCCGCAATGTAAGCCCGCAGTATTTTAAATTAAAGTTAAGTTCAGTTTAAGATTCTTATTAAAAATGTTGTAATAAGGTAAAAAAAGTGATAATAAATGTATTATTCAATCACTATGGTTGGTTTTTTAAGTTTTCTCTTGGGAGCCTACTGTTGCTGAAGAGCATTATATCAGTACCTCTAGTAGGAAAAACCTAGGGCGGCTATAATATAGGGGGCGCTGTTTAATTTTTCATACAAAATTTTTCGATGACACTTTGAATACGCAACGAAACGAACTCGAAAGTTTTTCCTACTAGATGTACAGGACGATTTGCGTTACGGAAGTGAAAGAAATGCGACAGTGATGTTAAACGTGTTTTTAGTTAATTTCGCTAAATTAATGCAGAAAGTTTAGGATGCTATTTACTAGCTTTTACTAGCTTTTGGTAGGTACTTCAATTTATTGTGTCTCTATCAGTTTATGTAAAAGATTACAAAGTAATATAATTGTTAACTTAAATTAATTATTCAGAAATTACGTACAAATTCATTTTACCATAAATTATAATTCACATTCATAGCCACAGATTAAATTTCAACCAGTTTTAAATAAATTTAACAGATTAAGCTTTTTGCAGGACAATAACTTTGTTAGAGAGTCTAGACACTCGTTATTAAAATGAATTCAATAAAACATGACAAAGGATATTTTAAATAATGAAAACTCACCTAACATCCTAATGACTCTTCGCTGCGAGGTGCCGCTTCTGTAGCGCGTGCTCATGCTGCATCGCTCGCTGCTCTCCATTGAAAGCTTCTTAATCGGGTGCAAAACCCGCGATGTACGCAACTTAATCCCTATCAACGCATACAACACACAAATCACAGACATAGGCACCACAAAAAATATAAAACTAGATATAATAAACACTTGATGCACTCCCTGACCCTTCACAGTACACACTATAGTTGTTTGCCCGTTGTCTATTTGTGTCACTATGCCAAACTGCATGGCCTGCGGGATCGCGGTGCACAGAGCACACACCCATATCGCGACGATGAAACGGACAGCGCGCGACAGCTTTGACATGGTATGTGACATGAACGGACGACATATGGCGATGTATCGCTCGACGGTGAAGGCCGTGATTGTCAGAACGGTCGCGTTCGCTGACGTTTCTGACGCGAGCCCCAGCGCTATGCAGTGAGCTTCGCCGAGCGGGTATGTGGACGGGTTCCACATTCGGTGGAATTCGATCGGAAGACCACACACGAGGAGTAGGAGGTCCGATATGGCCAGACTGAAGAGGTAGAAGTTTGTGGCGGTGTGCATGGATCGATTCCTTGCAATCACCACGCATGTGCTGATGTTCCCGAGGATACCGGCCACGAAGATGATGATGTAAGTGACGCTGAGCGGGACCAAAAGGTCCAGGGAGTCCGGCTCAGCGTAAGCATAGCTCCGCGAGTCGGATGCATTCGTGACATTTGCCATGAGCATGTCAAACGAGCTGTTCCACTCCATGGCCTTGCTAGGCGGCGCCATCACACCATCTGTGGACAAAATTCATCATGAAACAGTTTTCTAATTAACTTTCATCTCTTCATTAATATTATCTCAATCGCTATTCATTCATTTTGATCGTTTATATTTGCTAAAACAAAGAGCTTTCATGAGATTCGCTTCCTTAATAAACCCATTCTGCTTGCTATGGAAAATACCTTAAGTTGGATCTGATAATTTAATACCCGACCATAATTTAAGGAAGTCGTTTGTTGTGTTAATTTAACAGCCAAAAATCACTTCATTTAATTGGTTTTGGGGAAAACATGTTAATAATTCGACCTACACAAGAGCATTTCAATCTCAAGGGTTACAAAACACGCCTTAACATTTGATGTAATCATGCACCTACAGTCAACATGTAGAGTAACTCATCTGAAGTTTCGATATAATGACGAAAAATGATCCTTAACGCCCGTATTCACAAATGGTGATTGCTTAAGTAAAGCAGCAGATCGAACGCACAGCGTTGAATAGAGCTCCTTGTTTGGTTCGTGTGTCACCATGTGCGTTCATGCGCCCTGTGAGACCTCATAGTAATATTTGTGAACACGGGCGTAAGTCATTTATCTATTTAAAGGCTCTGTCAAGTATTGAAAGCTTTCAAATATTATGATGGTTCTGTTACATAATAATGTTATTTATAGCGAACTCGCAATTTCCGCTGAAGTATGTCACCAATGTCGATTCGATTGCTGTCGAATATCTCATAAAATAAGCGAAGGTAAAAATAGAAACAAAATTTACGATTAAAATGTATCCTTCCTCGACTATTTTCGTCACCATCACAAAAAACGTATTTTTAAATATCAAAGATTATTCGAGGATATATCTTTTTAAATATCAGACATTATTCTCGAACGTACCTAATCTTTCGTTAACTGCGTAGCTTTACGAATCTACACGATATCTTTAACGCACCTCCGGGACTATCAATACATAACAATAGGTGACCATTACATACATTATATCTTCGAATAATTGTCTACGTAACAAATGACTGGGGTGGCAGTTAGCCAGTAGATATGACAATTCCCACAGTCTATTACGCTTGGGAGACACATAATCTGTCATCGGTCGAGTTCAATGACATTGGCTGACAGACTCGATGGACTCGAGTATTGCAGTATTTCGAGCGCGAATATCATTACAGTCGTTAACTAAAATGATGGGTTTCCTGAATTTCAGTGTATTAGAGCCGTTACTTTTTGTTTACAAATCGTTACATCATTCGTACGGTTGAAAAAACTGTATTTTTGTACAAGGCACCTACATGCTCACACCAGCTGGTAAACATAAAATTAAAATTGACAACTTATTTTACTAAAATCTCAGAAGGTACCTATTAAAAGAAAATATCCTGAAGTCTCGCTGTCCCCGTTTGCCGCACCCCAGTACGGGATAACGATGACGTATTTGAGGTAATTTAAATACGAATAAAGATATACATTTTACCTAGGATAGGACCCTGAGGACCTATTTTATTAGTTAAAAGCCTTTTGCCCATTTACGTGGAAGGATAAAATAGTGAACGAAGAAATAAAAATTACAGGGATTTAACTGCTGTATAAGGAAATCAGGAAATTATGGATGAAACGAGACGATTATTTCCTCCATAACATCTCTTATATTCATGCCTGACCCAACATTTAGGGCCTTCGCCCATGGCGACTTTTTGTAGTGAAGCTGTCGCGCGTTAGTCGCATTTGCAACGCACTACAGAAGCGATACAAATGCGCTACTAACGCGCGACAGAAGCGCGACAGTATTGCGTTTGCGTCGCGACAGAAGCGCGTTTATGTGGGCGAGGGCACACAGCTAGCGACCGCACATTTGCGACTGTATCGATGCGAACGCACGACAGAATCGCTACTGCATCGCTACAATAAGTAGCCGTGGGAGAGTGGCCTTAGGTAACGTAAAAACATCGGCAAAACCGTTTGGCGCCCGCCATTACCTTTGCGTTTACCTCAAGCGTGTCAATTTACACTTATCACTCACGTCACGCGTCATGTGCCATCTACGAGTCTATCTAGCATCCAAGTTACATTCGTTTGCTGTCTCTATATGTGATGCTGTCGCTTTAATTGTTTTTTAAATATTGACTCAAATATTACTGTAGTCCCACCAAAATTCATTTAGGTATCCAATTTTATGTTTTATTTTGTTTTATTAGGAGAGAATAAGACGGCATCAAAGTCGACGTGCCATTTCGCCTTCATGCACGTGAGTGCGGGGCATTTTGCGTGGGGAAAGAATAATAAGGCTGGGTTGCACCATCTTACTTTAACTTTGACAAACGTCAAAAATCTGTCAAACTCCATACAAAATGTACCGGTTATCGTCACAGTTACTGTTAAAGTTAGGTGGTGCAACTCAGCCTAAGAGCACAACAAATCATTACAAAAAAGACATTATTTTTTCAATTTAAGAGTTGAAGACTCATTGTAAAATGTTTAATTTGTAATAAATCATTACAAAAACTAGTATAAGAATTTCTAAGAAAAAAACTTTAAAAAGCAATAAACTATTACTGAAATCAAACAGACTGAAAATGACCATTTTTAACAGTTTATGACTAGTTTTTGACCGAATTTGACCAATTTGACCGTTGATGACCGTTAGTCAAATTATTCCAGTCACTTTAGTCATTTTTAACACCAGCCCGACCCCTTCACCGTTCATTTATCATAGCTCTAAGTTAAATAAGTTGTGTATTATGGTCATGACATAATACTAGTGGACCTGGACATCCTGTTAATCTAACTTTGACTTAACAACTTCAGACTTCCCTTTCTGGCTATGAATGCAGGCAGTTCGGAAGCTTAGAAACTTTTACAGGCTTTTTATTTCTTGGTTTAAAAGGTTTTTATGGTGTTCTTGATAGCACTGATAATTCTTTTATAAACCGCTACTATTTCATGTCGATGCATTGTTTTTGATAAGATTGGTAGGGAAATTCTTAATAATTCAGTAGGTAAGCCCCCGTATTATGAAATTATATTCAACAATAAGTCATAAGTGCCACTTGTGGTCTAAACTGAATAAATATTTTTGATTTTGAATAAATCACACTCAATAATTATAATACAATAAACAAAAAAAACTGGCAAGGGGATCATCAACAAAACATAGCATGTAAGCTATGTATTGTTGGATCTCTCTCATTTCACGTTTGGTGGACTGTATCCATTAGCAGACTGCAATCAAACGCCCTTTGAGCTCAAAACTTCCGAAGTTCAATAAACTGTGAGCACATTATTAGGCACATAACCAAAATCATAAAAGTGCCGAAAAAAAAAATTTGGAATCCCATTTTGATCGTCATAAAATATGAATACCTACGAGCCTGAGAAAAATCAAACACAAAACATCAAACATAATTAGTTTAGGTAAAACTTTATGAAGGCCGTTCCTTCGCCCAACAACAGTGTAATACAAGATAACAACAGCTTTCCTTTTCCTGTTTGTATGTGAATGTAAAATTTGCAAATGACAGACTTAACATCTCTTTATTCTGACAAAAACATACACGTCACGTGTCCTTTCTAAACTGTGGCCACGAAGTCAAACGAAACCGGTTTTGGATGACACTGGATATCATTTATGTGTTAGGGTCAGGATTATTTCACTTTTTTCTACAATAAATCAATCACTAAACCAGTCACCACACCACAGTCACGATTTCACTCACGAAAAATCTGAAAATACCTATCTCAAAGTTCAAATTTTCAACGTGCGGCTATGTGCCTCTAAACTGTCAAATAGTTGCAAAAAACGGTTCTGTTTGAATTGACGGCGACGGCATCACGCATCTCTTTTTATCACACAGTGTTGTTGCATGGCATCTCACTCGCTCAGTTCTTTGTTGATCTATTCCGCTAGGTATAATAACTTTATGGGCCACGTGACTTCAGGCTTTACTAGTTTGCTAAGGCTTGCGTTGAAGCAGTTAACAGCACTTCAGGCTACATATTGTTGTCGCAAAATATATCCTATTACAACTACATAAGACTACATAGTCTACCTATTACATAAATACAAAATGTGTCGTCTGTGCCTACTTCATTTCAGACTAAATTACCACCAAGCGAGTGGTAGCCTACTCATACATGTATGAACTCAGTATTCACAAACAATTCGAAAGTGACGTAATTCTGTTGTGTATTAATTTTCCACAATGCAGGAAGTTATAAAGGGTATAAGGGTCAAGCAAACAAAAAATATATTAAAATTCTTTCAGTCGTTCTTGGTAAACTCGCCTCGGTTCCCGAAGGATACTGACGACTTTGTGGCGAACTTATATTTTCAGTAAGAAAGAAAGATGTATTACAATACAGTAAATAAGTATATTTAGCTTTGTTGTACAGTTCGAGTTTCCAATACCTATGTATTTTCTTCCTATTATATTCTATTGGTTTTTTACGGAATCAATTATTGTTTATGTAGAAGCTTATAAATACCTGAAACTAAAATAACACGCCGTTCTTCAGTTTTGTTTTCAAAGTAACATAATTATTACGAGCAAACGGATTTAGGACAGCTCACAGAACGCAATAAATAGGGTTCCCAAGCTCTTATCCTTAATGGGACCATAATCTAACTTTAGTTTGAGTTACGATACAACCTTACTGAAAACAGAAATGGTGGAACTTACTAAAACACCAAACACGGATATAGCAACATTAAACATGTTCAGTACTTTTTTCTCTAATTTTAGGAAGAACTAGCTGAACTTTGTACCTCAACTCATGTTCATCTATACTTATAATAAATCTGTAGAGAGGTCAGTTCTGTACATGAAATATATTTTCAAAATAACTATCAGGGGGTGATTAGTGATCGATACTGATGCCAAAAATGCAATCAGTAAAATTTTTGTCTGTCTGTCTGTATGTTCCTTATAGAAACAAAAACTACTCGACGGATTTTAACGAAACTTGGTACAATTATTCTTCATACTCCTGGGCAGGTTATAGTATACTCAGGA